TAAAAATGTACAAAAAAATGTTGGTAAAAGATTTCTTTTTGTAATTTATAAAGACAAATTTAATAAACAGAATGCCTGTTTCGAAAGCTTTATTCTGCTTGGAGCTTTGTATTTGTTGTCATGAGCAAATAACTAAAGCTACAAACAACTACATTAAATGATATTACATGTATTAGCTTTATGTAAATATATATTAATGTTGAATTGGTTATATTGATAAATTTAATTATAAATGCATGTTCACTGAATATTAGCGATTTGAGGCATACTCTAAAGACATATTATAGTTAACACTAGTTAATAGCTATGGAATACTATTGTGTCAAAGATTTTACTATAGTAAATAAAACCTTTTACTTATTAAATTAAAGTATTTTTTAATGAATTTAGTTTTTTAAAGTTTAATTTTTTTCTTCAAGTTTTTCTTCATGATTTTAGGGGTTGATATTAAATGAACTACTGGTGTATTCAAAATATTATTTTATAAATTAACATCATTAGTATGTGTTATAGATCCTAAGGAGCTAAATCTTAAGACAGACACTGCGTATATATTAATATAGTGCAAGCTATTAGACGGAAACAAATTTTAAAACAACTACAGAAATAGCAGTCAATCATTTTCACGCCATGAGAACTTTCATAATTATTTTACACATTGTGTCCAAAAATGTACTTGAAAATACATTAATAACAAACAAATGCTTACAGTTGGGTAATTATAAACACAATCGAATTGGTCTCATCAGAGACACATATCAAAACCAAATATTAACAATTATATGATTATTGTGTCTATTGCTTTTAAGCAGACAATAAAAAACATTAATATGTCTATGAAAACGACATATGAGAATACAAATATCAAAATAGTATGTCTTGATAAAGCATATCTGTATCCTTTGATCCTAAAACTCTCGCAGGAATTTAAACAAAGCCAACAATTGTTCTCAAGTGAAGTACGAAAAAACTTTACATGTAGACATAACCTTTTGATTTAGCACACAGTATTCATTACATTTCTTAATTCTTGTTAAAATTACTCCACCCTTTTACTCAGTTTTGAGTATATTTTTCAGAGAATTTAAAATGAAAATCAGAACAAACATTTTCATTTTTGTAACGTCTTTATACTGCATCATAATATGAAAAATAAAACTGAAGACCATTTCTTTTTATGCCCCCAAAATTGAAGATTCGGGGGTATATAGTATTATCGTGTCCGTCTGTTTGTATGTCTGTCTGTCTATTTGGCGGTCTGTTTGTCCGCAAAAACTTTAACCTTGACCATAACTTTTCATTTATTGGAGCAATGGCTTTCATATTTAATAGGTGTATTCCTTGTGACAAGACCTTACTTCGAGTACCACTAAATTTGACCTTTTGACCTTTACCTTGGAGTTTGTCCGATTTGAAAAATGCCAAATTTTTACTTTGGCCATAACATTTAAACGGTAGATACTAGTACTTTCATATGTATTTTATATATATGTATTTTTTGGAATGACCTTGCATTGGATACTAAAAAATTTGACCTTTTGAACTTGACCTTGGAGATTTCCGTACTTATGAAAAAAACTTTAATCTTGGTCATAATGTTTGAGCGGTAAGGGCTAGGGTTTTCATACTTCACATATTTAATGATCCTTGTTACATTAAACCTTTCTTAAGAAACCATCAACTTTGACCCTTTGACCTTTGAGTTTGACCTACCTTTCAAAAACTTATCCTTAGCCATGACTTTTGAACAATTGGTCACGCTAGGGCTTTCCTATTTTGCAATTGTATTTATTGTGAGAAGAACATATTTGGGTACCAATTTATTTAAATTGCATTTAAGAAAAGTTTAATCTTCGCTTTGTTGCCATACAGGGGCATAGCTGTTTCACAAACACATCTTTTTATATATATGAGGAGTTGCGGATAAGAGATGGATAGCCCCAAAGCGTAACAGACGGACGGACATCCCGATCACTATATATCCTCCCGCTTTTCAAGCGGAGGTGATAATAATATATAATACTGCTGATTTTTTCGGTCAGTACGATGATTTCCCTCATCGATTGATTGATTGATTGTATGTTGTTTAACGTCCCTCTCGGGAATCCCTCATCGAAAAACAACGTTTACCTAACCCTTAAGGCTGGATAAATCTTTTACACCTTTAGATTCTGAATCATCGCATTGACCTTAAAATATAGCAATAATTGTATAATGTTATGAGATCAACATATCATCACTTTATTCCCAATTAGCTCAGGTGAGCATTTTGGCCAATTTGCTTCTTTATTTAATTTTTTTTCCCCTAAAAATTTCAGCTTTAATCCACGGGGAGTCTTTTTTCTACGGGGGTCATTTTTCTTCACATGGGTTCTGCTAATTTTTAGGGTGGTGACACTTTTTCTACGGGCAAAAGAGTCATTTTTCGACGTCGAATAATGACCGGGGGTCATTTTTCGCCGTAGAATATTGATCGAAGGTCATTTTTCGCTGTCGAAAAATGAGTCCCGGTCATTATTCGATGGGGGTAATTATTCGTCTTTACAATTGATATAGACTTTTTTGTTTACACAATCCTCACTGCGACAAGGGTCATGCTTCTATTAGTTTTAAACTTTTACTTTGATACATAAAAAAATGGTGTAATTTTTTTAAATATATATTAATGTACCAGGGTCATTCAAAAAATACGTAGACAATGTTCCTTATAGTCATGTTAGTGTTAAAAGATTATAGACCACGCATTTTCGGAAATTAAAACATTTATTTTGTCGAGGTGTGAAGTTTCATTCAATTTGATTGAAGTGAACTCATGTTAGCAAATTTTTAACACAATATGTAAATGGTGCCTGTGTTGGAGAGTAACAGTTGATATTGACACCCCAAGAAAAAATATTGTCAACCGACGCGTCAGCGGAGGTTGACAATGGTTTTCCGAGGAGTGTCAATTTCGACTGTTACCCTCTAAAACAGGCAACATATATTTTATCATACTGAATGTCTTCTTGATTTACTATGTCAGCAATTCAAATCGCCGATCGCCTTTTCGTTCACGTTTAGAAAGCTTTCAAACTCACCGCTACTTCGAAAAAGATTTACTGACCTCTTTATTGTTTATTTGATACTCTTCGAGTCCTTTATCATCAAAAGTTTCGTTATTTCGTTGTTTTCAAGTAAGCTACATCGGACTAAAGCTTTTTTTGACGTCAAGTTTATTCCATTTCTTTCAAACGCGCAACAGACGTTTTGAGAATTCTACGGTGAACCTTACGCGCATAATTTTCATGCATGTGGCATTACCGTTGTGTTACCCGTTGTCACGTGTGTTGCTAAGGCTGAGGGTAATAGAACAGATTGTTAACTGCGTCTAAACCAATCAGATTTTAGTATTTAACATGAAAGTATTATAACATGTTTTGTTACCACGGAGCACGGTTAACCAACATTGTAGCATCAAAAACAACGTCGAGAAAGTTTCTCAAAATTCGGTTTCCTTTTTAATTTCATATACACTTTGTAGCATCTTTTTCATTCATAAAAAATGTTTCCATACATTTGATACCTAATTTGCTAACATTTGTGCAAATAGTTTGAACTAGATTGTCAATGTTTTCAAATTACTTTAGGCCTACCGCGGAACTCAGTTAGTTCTGTAACAGTGAACATCACGTTTAATGACAAGATTTTTAACTATAAACTGTTTCTTAGCAGACAGTCCTTCGTCTGATTAAATTCGAAAATTGTATTTTCCATTTTATACAAATACATTGGCTTATTTGTTTTTTTTTTTTTATACATTTCCGGATTTACACAGATTTTTTTTTATTTTGTTAAAGAAATTTTCTGCAAAATTTTATTGTTACTCGCAGCTCCGTGACAACCTCCAACGTCATGGTATTTTGCCTTTTTTTTAATCGAGTTCATATCATATCATTTAAAATTTAAGATATTTCATGTTTACAGAGTCCATTTTTGCTATTGATAAGGTTTTAACTGTCCTTTGTTGAATCAATTAGGGGAGGGCAGGTATTAAAATAGATGTCTTTTCAAAAAAATTAGGGATGACGCATATTTGTAACATATATTATGTACAGAGGTCAAAACATCCTTTTAAATACTACGCAAAAATTATCAAGTCTATCGTTCTTATACCTACGCTCATCAGCTTGTCTGATGCAATATAAGCTATTAAGAAACAAAAATAGATTTTCTTTTATTTTCAATCAAAATGACCATCATTTCTATCATTCGGATGCTTTAAAGATGTTATATATATTTTCATATGGAAGAAAAATCCTAAATTCTCCTGCAAGAAATGAATTGCTTTAAATCTAAAGCACACTCATGTGTTTTGTCAGACCTAAAAATGCATCTCTTTAGTTTACTATGAAATCTTTGAAAATGTTTTATCCTGGAACAAACTTTCTTAACACCCCTTACATGTAATTATCTTGCATCTTGACATAAATAACTCTCATATTGACATAAATAAGTCACATGTCTAAATAATTATGTGGCATTTTGCATCTACGATGTCAAATACAAGCGTAAGTAAGTGAATTTACCCATATTTATATTATATTATCTAATAAGATTGATACCTTACATGGCAATATAATTATCTTGACGTAAAAACGGTGCCTGTCTTCATAATTATGTTGCATGTTAAAATACGTTATATTGTATGTAACGGCAAAAATACTCCACCATAGAAAGTCTGCAATTATTCTTTTATTGATTGGTCTCGTATTCCTTATAGTTTGTGTGTTTTTTCAGATCTTTTTTTAATTGGACGCTAAACAGATAAAAGAAAAAAAATTCAATTGCCTTACCTATTGATATCAAAATTCTAAATATCTTCTTTATGAGTGAAATCAAAATGATTTGAGTACCCATATTCCTTTTGAAAGAAAATAAAGGCTATATAGACATTGAAGATAATTTTATTTCTTTTTTTCCATGCCTGAAAACATAGCTTGTCGAAAAATGATAATTCATAGTTTTTGCATTTATTTAGCTTTTAAACATTTACTAAGAAGGCTTTTATATCCTACGAGGCAAAGCTTCTTGCAAGAAAAGTCGATGGGGTTGTAGCTGAAGACATGCCAGCCTTTGGCACCGGGAAAACATCCTTCCATACAACTGAGATAATACTTTCCAATGCGTTTTTGACATTGTAACATTTTTTTCTGACCATTACAGATGTGAGCAGCAATACACAGAAGTGAGAGTAAAAGCAATACTTTCATCTTGCAATCGTTTTCTATTAAAAGTCAAAAAAGAAAATAGCATATTAAAAACTTTAATATATATCTAATAATTTTACAGGTAAATTATAAAGATACATATTGTTGGGTGAAATATTTTTTTCACTTTTCTATTGTTTAATTTTTTTTTTGGTTAAGTATGTTTGTTAAGTAAACTGATATTTTGTATGTCACAATATCGATTAAATTTTTTACATGCTTAACATTACAAATAGATCTATAAAAATTAAGACAAATTAAATTTGTTCTTTTTAAAAAATATGTACGGGAACCTTGACTTACTTTGCTCTTTTTCAGCTTCCGATGGAAATAAGACCCCTGTTTCCTGAACGAGTATTTATACAAAAATGCAGCAGGTATACGTCCTACACTATTTGGATTTATGATTGTCGACTACTAATATTCTATAATTTGATAGCTTGACATCTGTTTCTGGATGAAATTTAAATATTATCAAATTTTGAATATACTATTGCAATCAAATTTTATAGCAAGCCCACTATTGTAATACCGGTATACAAAAAGTTATGGTCAAGGCTAAAGTTTGTAAAAAGTAAATCAAACTCCAAGGTCAGAGGGTCAAAGTTGTTGATATCCAATGAAAGGTCTTCTCACAAGGATTATATAATTATGAGAAGTATGAAATAAATCTGTAGCGTTATGGTTTTAGGTATTTGTCTTTTAACCATAACTCTACAGATACCGTTAAGCAAAAAACAATTTACGGCGCATTATTTTTTTGAGCACTTTTGGGGAGACTTTGGTCATTCAGCTACCTTTCACTCCCTAATTCCAGAAATATTTTGTAGCCAATATGTATATTTTATCCACCGCCCAACCATATACAGGTGTCTCTAGAGGCAATAAACTCACTTGAATTGAATTTTCAGCAATCTAACAAATAATTTCCCCCAAAAGTGCGCACAAACCGCGCCTTAAATTGCACCTTTTTTGCATTACGGGATCTGTAGCGTTCTGGTCAAAGACAAATACATAAAACTATAACGCTACAAATCTGCAGCTATGAAATACCTAGCCCTTACCGTTCAAAAGTTATGACCAAGGTTAAAGTTATTTCGTAGTTACGAAAATCTCCAAGGTCAAGAGGACACAATTGTTGGTTTCAAATGCAAGGACTTGCCAAAAAGAATTGATATTTGAAATAAGAAATTAATAGTTTCTACCATTTAAGTCGGTAAACCAAAGTAAAAGTTTGGATTTTTGGGGTAAAAATGGGTCAAACTCCAAAGTCAAGGTAAAAAGGTCAAGGTTCTTGATATCAAATGAAAGGTTTTTATTTTTCCTAGGATTAAATATTTAAAGAATGATAGCCCTAGTCCTAACCCTTCAAAAATTAAGGTCAAGGTTGTATTTTAAAAGTAAGACAAACTCCAAGGTTAAAGTCAATGTGTCAAAGTAATTGGTATCCAATGAAAGGTCTTTTCAAAAGAATTACAAATGTGAAGTATGAAATCACTAGCCCTCAAAAGTTACGACCAAGGTCAGAATTTTTTCGTAAGAACAAAAATTTCCAAGGTCAAAGTTGTTGTTATTCAATGAAAGGTCTTTCAACAAAGATAACATATATGAAGTATAAAAGTCCTGTTTCTATTATTCAAAAGATATGGCCAAAGTAAAAGTTCGGATTTGTTGCGTAAAAGTGTGTCAAACTCCAAGGGCAATCTTGAAAGGTCAAATTTGGTGGTACCCAAAGAAAGGTCTTCTCACAAGCAATACACATGTGAAATATGAAAGTCATATTTCCACTAAATCAAAAGTTATGGGCAAGGTTAGTTTTTTTGCGGACAGACAGCTAGACAGACAGACGGACACGACAAAAACTATATACCCCCGAAACTTCATTTACGAAGACATAAAATTTCTATTCTATAGAATGGAGGAATCATGCTTAGTGGATATGAAAGTCTCTTTAGGTAGTGTAGATTCAAATTTGTTCATTAATGATTCCAGGGGGTCAGGAGGAGCTACAATACTGAACTGATTTGCTCATTTTTTCTATCCAATATGCTAAGGTGAGCAATATGGCCCATATGCCTCTTGATTTTAATGGATATATTTGACAGTAACATGTTTTAAATTTTTTTAACTCTAAAATGCTTTGAAACAATGTCATAGTATTTTATACAAGAATGATATTAAAGGTTAAAAATTAATGATGTTCTAATATAAGTTGGGAGTTATGGTTAATATTATCCTCTCAATAATGTTATTTAAATTAAATAAGTTATTAAATGCAATTTGTACAAAGAAAAAGATGAGAATGATATCGTAAAATAGGCATTGTTATTAATAATGTATATAAAAGAAACTAAACCTGCAACACATGCATAGGATGTAAATGTTGCAAGTATATGAATTACGTTTTTCACTTTTCATCATACTTTTTTTTCTGCCACAGCTTGATGATGTGTCCCATCATAATGTTAGAGATATTGATCCTCTGTATCACAGATATGTTCCCTTGCTAATCCAATATCTATGCTAAAAAGAAACATATGTAATAGTACCAAAATCCAAATATTTTGATGACTTCAAATGATCCAATGTCTGCTAATTGATATTCGAAACAAAGTTGCATTAATATCAAATTAGCCCTTTATGATGAAAATTATCTAACGTTGATACTGTAACAGATGTTAGTGAGAAATACAAGAGGTATTGTTTGAACATATCACTAAAAATATGTCACCTACCGGTAATTAATCAGAGATCCTTTCTAAAAAGACCAATAGAAATTTTAAAAAATGTTATTTTCCAAACAGTAATAAATCACTGAAGTTTGAATTGAAGTCAACGTAAAGAAGAATCTTTTTAAAAATAAAAAAAATACAAAGAATATTAATAAATTCTTATCATTACGAAGTGAAAAACGATTAAAAATTATTTTTTTTTTTTACAAATTAGATTTTTTTAAGAATTGATTTGTATTGCGTAAAATTAAAGGGAGATATCTCTTCAAGGACACTAGGTCATAACTTAGGACACACACTGATTCTTAAACATGAAAATCATTTCTATAAATACTGAGTAATCAGCCCATATGTATTTATCATGCAATCAATCAATCTAAAGACATTGAGCTTAATTGTCGGATACCTTAACTCATAATATGAGGTAGATTTAAGCGATGGGCAAAGAAAGTCCAAGACAGATAACTCATTACGTTAGTTAAGGTTATTGCAGCCCGGAGAACCGGGCTGCTCTATACATTTAAGTTTAAGTATTGGTGTATGGGGATTGAGGCGGGAGAAGTTATTCAGAATTAAAGGTTTTCTAAAAATTAAAAGGATTGTTAATCAGAATGCTCTTTCCCTTTATAAATTACAACTTGAAGATACATAATATATTTATTTTCATAAAGTGAATTTTTAAAAATAAATATGTTTTTGATATATAATAATGCAACTTCTGTGCCATGCAGGCGAATGTTTTTCGTGAAATTATTTATATCTGTTTCAGCAAGTAATCCAAACTCTTAAGGATAGTCCAAAGTACCTTGGCTGGTACTTGCTTTAATATAAGACAATCTTAAGAACTTCCTCGACACAAACAGAAAAATAATATGAGTTATGATAAAATTTCAGACGTAAAATCTTAATTTGTTCTTTATCTTTGTCTTCTGGTGATTTAAGTAAAGTAATATCAATTTAAAACTGAAGTACATGTATTACAAGGTATATCATACATTATGTTCCGTCGTTCTCCTGCCGAATGACCGAGCTTGTTCTTTTTTGTTAAAAACAGGCAAAAACAAATAACATCATGTAGAAGTGAAATTTGTCGTTTATTAAATATGTTTTTGATTTAAAACATATTAAGTTGCTTATCATTTACTATCAAAAAACGACAGGTCCCTTTTTTTAGAACATCGAATTTTACTTATCGCATAAAAACGTGCTTTACACAGTTCGTGTTTTATATATTTTGAAAAAAGGTGATGCATGAGTCTAGTTTCAATTCATATTTTACGCAGCCAATATTTACTTGAAGAATTGATAAAGTTTAAAAAGGGTATACTTTTTGTTCGATTTTCATCAGTCTATAAAAAATATTCTCGAATATCGTTTCCATCATTTAGACGCATGCCTTTTTCACACATATCAATTAAATAATAGGTAAAAAAACAATACGCAGGTTTTGGTATATTATATTATTAATTTCCCGGGCGACAATTGATGGTTTCATCAATGTTTTCTTTTAGTAAATGACGTAGTTATGTTTCCGCAATCACGAATATGTTACAAAGAATGTGCATTCCTTCTTCCTTTTGGAAAAAAGCTAGAACAGAAAAAAAAATTATAAAGTAAACGATCTGCGATACAATCCTTTATATCCCAGGCACGTAGCAATAGGTACTTTTTTCACATCAATACTTTTACTATTGGAAATGTTCAGTGAAAGGCTGGTTGCCCCCCCCCCCCACACACACTTTATCCTACAGGAAATTGATATAAGGGAAACGTAGTGATGAATACAGCAAACTTGGTACCGAAGAGGTTGGCATTGAAAACTTCTTTCAGTACCAAGTTGCCCCCCCCCCTTCACGAATTAGGATTTTCTAATCTAGGCAAATATTTCTATAAAAAAAATTCTTCTCTGATAGCCCCCCCCCCTTTCAAAAAAGATTGCTACGTGCTTGTATCCCTTTTTCTATACATCGGTGCTAATTTTGTTCATGTAGCAGGGAGTATTCATCTTACAACTGTTTTTGTGCAGGGAAGGAAAATCTCGAATTTTGAAGTGAAAAAATACCATTTTTATTCAGTAAATAATTTTTTGTAATTACCTGTTGTTTTATAATACATTTTGTTTACATTTAAAGAAACATGAAGCTTTTTAATCATGCATAATTTCAATTTAAGAAATGATGATAGCAATTTTTTCATATCTTTTAAAACAAGTGTTTCTATAGTAATAAAATTTTTTACGATAGTCATGCAAAAAATTGCACATTTTATTAAGGTTCATTGTACATTTAGTAACAAATAATATAAGATATTATAGTGTTGAAAATTAAGTACCTTTAAAACACATTAAAGGAAATAATGAGTTGTTTATTATTTGCTTTACATCTATCTGCTGACTTCAATTTCATTGACAATACGATTTATCTCAGCATAAATGCCATCAGTAATATCAATATTACTACATTGCTCTTTTCTTGCTAAGTAAACATTTATAACTTTGTAAATTTCATACATAATGATCAGTAAAAGAAAAGTTGATATTAATGCTCCGATTGAAATTACAAAACTTCTGAAAGACAGATCATTATAGTTCCTAAGGTTGTAACTTTTTGAGGTACT